CACAATCAGAGTTCGGCGGTGCGTACACTATACATACGATGATAGACGAGACCTTCCTAGGTAGGCGCTAGTATATTACTGTAATAATATGTTTATGTATTTTCTAGGTTTCTTGCTGACGTGTACTTTTTACTAATACAATGTAATAAGACTAACTGTACTCCCAGTATGACTGCTGGTTGAAATTGGTTGGTACAAAACGTCCGCTAAATCAGTATTGACTGTAATTTATGGTTCGAGTCGAGAGGGTTCGGGACATAAGTGTTGTTACTAAGTCCCCGTATGCCGAATGAAATCTTAAGGCCTAATGTTAATTATTCACAATATAAGACGAACCATTTCTATCTGTGGGGGTCTAGCTGAAACAGGTGAATATTTTGCTGTAAGAAATATTTAGACTAATAAAACAACCTTGATTGAAATTTTGTTTTGCCACAAGCCAATCAATATTTAAGAAGAAGCAAAACATCTCATGCGTTATACGAATTTCCTACACTCATTTTAGTTAGACCCCCACAGATAGGGATGGTTCGTCTTATATTGTTAATAATTAACATTAGGTCTTAAGATTTCATTCGGCATACGGGGACTTAGTAACGACACTTATGTCTCGAAGCCTCTCAACTTGAACCATAAATTACAGTCAATACTGATTTGGAGGACGTTAAGTACCGACCAACTTCAACCAGCAGTCTTAGTGTGAGTACTTTCCGCTTTTTCTTATTCCAAGTCATTTTTTGCATCGTTACTGAGGCGATTGCTGTGAATGCTCCGAACATTTTTCTCATATCTTTTTGCCATATAACATTCTACTAATCTCTTGTGCACAAGTTTTTTTTGGTCATACATATTTTAGTTAAAATTGTTTCAATTTATCAATTTTCATCTTACAATGATGTGTTGACTCATGTGGGATATACATGTATAAGTAAAAAGTACACGTCAGCAAAAAGGCTAGAAAATACATAAAGATATTAATACAGTAACAGCTTATACCTCACCACTGATTAGTCTAGAAAGGACTGGCTTCTCGTTGGATTTAGACAAGTCTTTTTTAATGTGAATGATAAAACAGGAATTCGGAGATCTCAGACCTCCAAACAAATATTATGTATGACGTAACCTTTTTGTCGATATGGATTATTTTTTCTTAATTTAAATTGTCTAAATCATCTCCCTGAAGTCTAACTCCATAAGAAATATATAGATTTAGCGCCCAACGACTTCATAAGCAGGCTTGATGTTTAAAGAAATTAATCCGTCGTCATTCATTTTTGAGAAATTTTGTTTTGTAACCGCAGCTAAAAACAGATATATAGTCAAACTTGTATAAGAAGACCACCCTGGGGACCTAAGGAATCTGGTCTTCTTAGAAAAGTGGTCTTCTTATCCAAAAAGGAGCCAGGTGACAAGAAAACGACACCAATTTCGAAGTTCAATATTTAACACGTTAATTATTCTATTTATAGATAAGCATTTATTATTAGCAAAGATATTTAATACTAACCATCACATTTGTACAAGATTTTTTTAATGATAAACATTGATTATTTTATATACATGTACATTGTTACCAATGTAACGTTACAGGTTGCAAAACTGTTTATAATGTACAATGTCCATTGTACTTGTAAACTGTACAAGGCCAAACTCTAGTTCCCTCGACAATTTCTTCTCAATCTCTGTCAGTCTGTCTCTGTCAACGTCTTTCTCTCTGCTTTTGCCATCGTGCCCTCCGCAATCGCCACGAGAAGTCGAAAATGACTGACTTGGTCTCGGGCCTCAACGCCATTCACAAATAAAATTGTCTGAAGAGATCGGCATCGCGATTTAAAAAAAAAATATTTGGTGAGTGTTTCGCGTGACCAACACATGGCACATTTTCCAAATAATGTACATTTCTTTTGTACCCTCAAAATAATTGTTCTTCAGTTCGTTTTCGTTCGTTTTTTGGAACACGAAAAACTAGCGACAAGTTCCCTTTGTTTACTACGGCTTGGGTTTGGTTAGCTTGGGTTGCCTCTGCCATTATGCCAACATGAAAGTCAACAGAAAAGTGTATGTGAAAAGATTTCCTATTTTTTAGTTAACCCCCTCACCACAACCACCTCGCCCGCTCTAGTAATTTCTCTCGTACACTCACAAAACAACAAAGCCTTTCCTCGCAAACTGCACTTAATGTAACAACAAAATCGATATCACTTTAAACCTGACCTAACGTAGAGTGGAGTACAAGAATGATTGTTTTCTGTCTTATTCATTTAACAGATCCAAATCCAGTAAACATGGACTTTAAACCTGACCTAACGTAGAGTGGAGTACAAGAATGATTGTTTTCTGTCTTGTTCATTTAACAGATCCAAATCCAATAAACATGGACCACCAGATGTTCATATCCAACATCGAAGAATCGAATATTAATGCCATGCACACCTCCAACGCTCATGGCCAAAACCCGATGGATACGCAAAACACCCAGGCTCTAAATCCGACGTATGATAAAAATCCGAACCAGAACCTAAACCCAATGTACACGCCAAACAGTCATGGCCAAAACCCGAAAAGTATGCAAAACACCCAGGTTCCAAATCAGCTGTATGATCTAAATCCAAACCAGGACCTGACCCCCATGACCACACCAAACACGCTGGACCCGAACCCGATGTACATGTCAAACACTCAAGAACAAAATCCAGAGTGCCATTTTTCTAATCCGATGTATGCTTCAGACATCAAGAACTCAAATCCAATGACTACACCAAACGCCCTTGACACGTATCTGGAGCATCCTCAAAGCGCTGTCAACCCTAGTTATAATCAGCTACAGGAAGCGGACATTCACGCCGAATCAGCCTGAATCAAAACACGTGCAACTACAAGGCTGAACAATAATAAAGGTACAGCAAATGTGGAAGACGACTCTTACATCCACCCATCTTCGTCCTCACATCAAGAGGATGATGAAAATGGCGACAATAACACAACATCAACACGTTGCAATACAGCTAATGCACATGATGATATGGACATGGAACCGTACGCTGTTGCATACATGTGTCGAGATGACATAACGTCGGTGGAGACAAGTTCAGAAGGCACGCAACCAAAGGACCCTTCTCAGAAAACAGAAAATGTTTCCAGCAACAATGCTCACAGCCCGGCTGCAAAAACAAGATGCGACTCGAACAAGCATGACACTGAAACAATTCGACGCCAACCGCTTAACGTGCGTAACGCTCCCCAACCAACAATTTGCGGTAAGAGCCGTTCATCTCTTTATAGAAATCTACTATTTATAATTACAAGCAGAATCAACCTACATCGTAAAATAGACATTAATTAAATTATATTTAGAAACCATGTATGTAAAATAAGTTTATGTAGAAAACTGCATAATTTAAAGAAAAACCAAATGAGCTTTCCGTTTTTTAAACCGGTTAAAAACTGTTTTGGTTATCCTGACTTTACTTAAATATTTCCATTTGTGTTTAAATGTTTTTGTGCCTTTATTGAACCTTAAAATAACTCACATTTTGGCCGCTGTAATGGAAGTCGAGATATGGCGGGAGTAGTGAAGGAAAACAATAATGCAAAAATAAAAAATAACACTAACAAAATCGATTAATCACTTCATTAGGTCCTTAATCTTTCCGTAAGAGTCAGTCATAGTGGCAAAAGCCCTTTAGTGATATGATATGAATCTTTTTTGCATGTTCTCGCCCAGAAGGGCTAAATGCAAAAGAGGGTATGCAGTAGTGCATACTGGAACGCTATATTCTAATGCTAAGTGCTAGGGATCTATACATTACAACAATACTATATACTACCTATCATCTACTGTTAGCTGCCCTCTCTTCTCTCTTTTTGGAACATTTGGAAACGTAATTACATAGTTTGTCTACTATATATTCGTTCTTGCATGACATCAAGTGTTTAAACGTGTCCTGCTTTGACATTTTCTTACATATCTCGTCTAATTGACAAAATATCGAATAGCTCTTGCAACGTTCATCTTCATAATGTTGTAAGAAATGTGCAAGTGGTTGTTTTTCATTTCACAAACACCCTGAAGTTGCTATACCATGTGATTTGCAGGCCGTACGTATCGCCGAGTGTGGGTTGCGGTCCAAGCAACTGCATTCTTGGTGTCGTTGATATTGGCCGTATTTATCGTCGTCTACTTCTTTCATATAATCAACACCAACGAAGACAACCACATGGTAAGCAATGGTATTTAATTGTGCTATTAGCTGTCGTGTTAGTTTTGACTCTTTCGTCTTTAACTTTTACATAACTCTAATAAGAACATTTTTATATTTGAATATCGACAACATAATTGTTGGTTCAAACACACATATTTTACTTGAGCAAATGATTTTCTGATCTTTTTAAAAATATGTTTAATAAATAATGTTTTGTCATCCATCATAATGAAAATCCTTCAAAGAAGTTGGTGAATGAGCAATTATGAAAAATAGATGCCAGTGTTGTTAGTTATTTTTCAAGCATTTATTTGTCAGTACACTACATGCATTTTCAACTTCTTATACTAAACAAAGTTTTTCTATGTCAAAGAACTCAAAGAACATATGAATACATGGATCTTATTACTTTGTATACCGTGTTTTGTGGGTTCAGTCTGTGCTTTCATTTGTTCAACCTTCCTGATCCCATGCTAAACATATATTTTTTTTGACACGCAATCAATTTTGGGGTGCCCAGGGGATGTCATTCGTATAAGCAAATGATTATGGCCCTACTGTTACCTCCTCATTGAGTCAATGCTATTTTATCAACAGCTGACAACACCTGCGGGCTCTATCCACACCACATCATCAGCAAAAATGTCTACCCAGCAAACAACGATGGCCCTTAACACGACTGGAACAAAACCAGAAGCGATCACTAATGATGGTGTCAAACCGGGATCTTCGAACCACACAGATAATATGCTCTCTTCATCGAGAAGAACATCGTCAAAGATATCTACCCACAAAACGATGGTGCCCTTTGACACGACCAAAACCGAACCATTGGTGATCACCAGTGGTTCTGTCACACCGACGCCGTCCATTATCAGTGGTGCTGTTACACCGACGCCGTCCATTAGCAGTGGTGCTGTTACACCGACGCCGTCCATTACCAGTGGTGCTGTTGCACCGACGCTGTCCATTACCAGTGGTGCTGTTACACCGACGCCGTCCATTAGCAGTGGTGCTGTTACACCGACGCCGTCCATTAGCAGTGGTGCTGTTACACCGACGCTGTCCATTACCAGTGGTGCTGTTACACCGACGCTGTCCATTAGCAGTGGTGCTGTTACACCGACGCCGTCCATTAGCAGTGGTGCTGTTACACCGACGCCGTCCATTACCAGTGGTGCTGTTACACCGACGCCGTCCATTAACAGTGGTGCTGTTACACCGACGCCGTCCATTAACAGTGGTGCTGTTTGTTTGTTTGTTTGTCTATTTATTAAGATCTCCATTAGTATGGTAAATTCCATACTATTCTACCTGGAGTCCAGCAACCTAAAATAACATAATAATAATAATAATAATAATTACTTTAGCAATAGTGATGATAAAAAAAACATACAAACTATGATGTGATTATAACAAAAAAATCAGCATAGAGAAATAATGGTGCATTGGAGATCAGAGGTCAAATAATAGAAATAATAAGTCAGAAATGAGAGTAATAATTGATGTACTTGTCCAATCATTGAAAAATCTAAGTACAAAACAGTGAACAAGTATTTGAACTGACACAAATAATAACAAAATATGTTACACCGACGCCGTCCATCCACACAGGTAAGGTCTCGTTTTCTACATTGAAAAGAGCGTGAAAAAATTTCACATTTGAACCTTACCCAGATTAAGACATTATTAGCACATTATTATCAATTGTAACACCATATAAAACACTATATGATAGTCTCATATATGTTAGCCTATTGGTTTGTTATTTATTAATTTCTACACTTTTCTATTAAAAATCCAAAAAGTATCAGCTTTTCGAAGCGCATTGTGCTTTTTAACGGCTCAAAATGGATTTTGATATAAAAAGTGATGTCAGATACAGCAATACACCTCATTTCTTCACATTATAATTGGTTTTCAGGCTCAAGTAGCCGGTACTAGCTTCCTAATACATTGTTTTCTTGGAAAAGCATGTTGCCTAGCAACAGTTGCTGGCAAAGGACAGTTCGCGATGGCTCCACCCCTAAAATTGTTTCTAGTGTTGTGAAGAACATCTGTGCCAAGTTTCATGCTTTTATCACCATTTGAGCAATTTTCGCACCGATCGCCTAGGCTATTACGGTGTTCAGGTTTAGTTCTATACATTTTTTTGCTATGTCAAATAGTTGTTGCCATACATGTGAACATGGTATCGTGAACAATTGCCATACAAGTTCTTCTATATTGCTACCAGCAGGATACAAGTCGAAGATCTCCTTTGGGGGAAGTGGAAAAGGTCGTGGCGAGTTCTCGGGATATAACTAAGGGTTAGCAGTATCTGCCGACGATGAGATATTTGTCACAGATCTATTTAACAAGCGAATCCAAGTATTCAACATGAACGGAGTCCTTCTACGAATCTTCCCAACGGTTGTTCAGAGTGGAAAAGTCCAAAAAAGGTGTGTAATTTTTAGGCTTTTTTAAAACGGCTGAGATAGATAGACACAGAGGGGGGTCGATAACTGTTATTGCATTGTAACTGATGTTGTACATTTGAAAGATAAGTTTGACAGGGAATCTAAACACAGCGGCCTATTTAAGAGTACGGGTCTACAACAACGGTGCAGTTATATGTCAATAGTTACAGATGCGAATACAATGTGTACTACATTACGGAGATACTATCTACTATCGGAAGTACCTAAATAATTGTTTATAAACCTCATAGCTGGCTGTAAATGATTCCAAAGCCATCTGGCTAACTAATTATTTCAAGCTGCTCTTACTGCTATTGGCTAATGTTAACGCTAATATGTAGATGTGGTACTGGATCATATCACATTGTAAGCAAAAGCTTCCTCAGCAATACGTTTTTGGTCACGGTTCTTGTTTATTACAGGTTGTATCCTACCGGCGTTGCCGTTGACAAGAAGGGCAACGTGTGGGTTGCGGGAAAATGCCAATTAAACGGAGGTTATGTACACGTAATGAAGTACAGCCAGCAAGGCCTGCAGATCACTGCATTTAACATCTCGTCTTCTGCTCTGTATCCAACCATTACCGTTGACAAGTCAAATGGAAACATCCTTCTGTCTGCGGAGCCGAAACAAGTTTATATCTTCTCAACAAACGGATCGCTGTATAAGAGTTTTGGATCAGTATCTAAAAATGATATCTATATCCATTACATCGCTATGGACAACAATACAGGACATATCTTTGTTACTTCGAAAGGTAACAATGTCCACGTGTACAATCGTGACGGGGACCTGGTTCGCCGATTCGGCGACTTTGGAAGCGGTAAAGGTCGACTATTTGTACCGAGAGGTGTACATGTCTGTACCGACGGTATTGGGAACATCATCGTGGCCAACAGTCGTAATAACCGTGTAGACATGTTCACAAGCCGTGGGGAGTTTGTTCGTACTGTCGTCAACACCGCCGAACCCAAGGGTGTTGCTTTAAGTTTGGATGGACACTTAGTGGTAACTAAAACGAAACATGAAAACCGTGTCACCGTCTTTCGTCGTACGTAAAACGATACTTCCTTAAATCTGAGCCCTTGTCCGGCTGCCTACCCTGGGTGCCAAACTAGTATATCGGGCCGTTAGCCGTTTTACTTCGGCAGCCAAAGAGCCCTTCGCCCGCCTATCTAAATTACCGCTACGCTACGGGGTAGTTGAGCCCGAGAGGGAATTTCGCCAAACTCCCCCCGGGCTAGACTCCCCCTTATGCTTCGGTCCCAATTGCGCCGGTGCCCGTCGGGGATGTAGCCCCGACCGGCTCCCGCCGAGCTCTGGAGCCTGGCGGGCACCGGTTGTTGTGGTCACAATTGAAAGTTTCCTTCAGTGGCATTTTGTCACCCTTCTTGGTAGGTCTCCGACAGGCACCCGGCAGATGCTCTGACGATGTCTTGTATACTGATCCACTTAATCCAGAGTTCACGCTTTTGTTGTGATCATCTGATCTGTGACGTCACACATTTGACATGGTCTTACGAAGTACACACCCTTATTTGTGTATCTGGTCTGTGACCTATCAATATTAGTCCCGGTGGACTGCCGGCAACCGGAGGGGTACCTGTCGGTGTTCTCACGATGAGGTCACGGCGTCTTTTTGTCAGCGGGGCCCGGGTAGAATTTAAGTCAGAATTAAATTCTTCTCGGATCCCCACCGGTCCGAAAAATAGCCCGGTAGCCGCAGGGTGTCCCGCGGGGCCACGTAGGGGTCACGCCCGAAAGTGCCCCCCCAAAAAAACAGCCCGGGAATTACCCGGCAGGGCCCCTTTTTGCGACGTCCTCAGGGGACGGAGCATTAGTACAGTACTGCGATCGATGTGCCAGGAATTCTAAAAATTCCGCCGATGCATCCCCTAGGGAATTCACTTTTGCAATGCCGGTAGCAGGCTGTGCCTTGTTTAGACCTCTGTGTCATTTTATTTGGGGCGTGTGTGGTATTCCTATTTACATTGTAAGAATGTTGATCTTACAGTATAATTTTCACATCTTTTCGCCCACGCAACCCGGAGTTATAACAGTTTTAAAATCGACGAAAAGCACCCGCGCGTATAGTGGACGCGCCTCATATATTATCGGGCAGTGGTGGAACCCTCCCACGTGACCGCGACGGCCAATCAGAACGCTGGGTTTCGCAAAACTTTCTTTTAGGTAGCGATTTTTCTACACCAGTATCTCGTGAAATTTCTCTACAATGGGATTATTTTGAAAGTTCAGAGTTGCGCCAAACTGTCGAGGAGACATCCCATCGTCGCTGGCAGGTTATCGCTGAACACAGGTACGTCGCATTTTTCCGATATTTGTGCCGTAAATATACAAGGTTCGTGGGTGCCCTAAAGCAACATAATTTACGATTTTCTCGATTTTGTGCCATTTTCAGTGGTCTAATTCGGGATTTTCCGAGAGGGTTCATTATACGACATGAAGAAAAATGTATACTGTGTATCTTAAACTCCCCAAAACGTTTACTGAACTCCTGTGAACCCCTAACCGTTCGGCCGCTATGAGGCAAAATACGGGACGATGCACAGCGAAATTTTGTTGTTGTAAAGCCAAGATGGCGGCCGGGCTAAAAATTGGCGTCCACAGAGTTTTCCGGTACGAATTCTTCTGAAACATTTACAGACAAAGTGAGATTTTGTCGACTATGATTAGGACTACTTAGTGACTTAATTCAATTTGTTATCGCTTGGTTTCGAACGATTGTGTGCATTTTCATTGACGATAAAGGGGGAGGGGACGGAAAACGCTGCCGAGTTACTCTTTTGTTGTGCAAAAATATTGTCCACACATACTTTCATGAGAGTTTTTGGTCTTGACATATCAAGATGCCGAAAGTAGCGACCTAGAACAGCTGCCCTTCCAACAGCTGCCCTTCCAACAATACTTTTGAAATAAATCCAGTTGCAGGCAGACAGCTTTATGCTATGTTTATGTGTGTGCTGCATGCTGAATACTGGTACATAAATATACAAGTAATATAATCTACAGTATATAAATGCAGTTTCTGGGATGGAGCTGTTGTTCATTACTAATTTTTCTATCAAATGATAAAGACTAACTGTAACTTCCTGGTGCACTGCCGAGTATTACTAGATACAAGTACTGTACTAAGTAGTTATGGGTGCTTCAGTTTGGACATGATAAAATTGCCATTTGTATTTCTTTACCAGCTCTCCATGGTCTCTGTCCTTTTATATATGTGGTTCATGTAAACTGATCATAATTTCGTCTTCCTTTCTAGCCTGCGGTATGTCAAGAAGCGAGCCATATCACACATTATCAGATTCAGAGTTTGCAGCCCCACTGCCAGGGATGGAAACTCTATGCAGGATTCAGATGTCACCATCAGGAAGAATTGTCAAGAGCCAAATAATTCTACAATCCCATACCCACACACGTTTTCTTGTTACATCTTAATTCAACTGAAGAATGTAATTTCAGTATGTACCCTAGTGTGATCATGACAGTGAACACATAGCAGTGGTCGAAATACTTTTTTTCAGTGCTCTGCAATATTGCAGAAGAGTCAAAATTTTGTTCTGCAATTTGAAAATGCTTTCTGCAAATACACAAGCCTCCATACTACAACCTTCTCAAATCAATAATGTCTTTTTTACATCATATATAGCTTTGTAAATCTGTAGCATTACTGGAATTCTTTTAAGTTTAATCTATCACTCTTTTCATTTCAGACTTTATAGATCCTTCTCCACAGAAAATTTATCATTTACTGGTATCTTCACGGGTCTTTCAGTTTCACCACTGTCTCCCACTACAAGCTACTACAACTAAAATCATACCTTACCTGTAAATGTACTTAGTAATCACACCCACATATCATCCTTCCACACAACATACTAATTAAGACACACCAAAAAACAGTACTTAACTCTTACTTAAGCAACTCGATATGATTTTGGTGCTACCTGAAACGGTCAGACCACTACCTTTCGTCAGTGACACTAGGAGAATTGCAGGTTTATAAGCACAAACTATTGATTCATATGCAAATTAGTGAAGAGAAATTTTTTTTTGGAAGTCCAAAGGGAATCAAAAGATAGACAAGTCAAGACAAGGATGATGCAAATTAGTGAAGAAGCTCCTGTTGCTTCAAAACAGGAACTTAAGTGTTGTCTGTCCTTGGGGCCAGAGAGTTCTAGTTTGCTAAATTGAAAACTATTGAATCTGGAGCCTATTTTTCCTTCTGCAAAATTGCAGATAGTATAAATTTTTCTTCTGCAATCTGCAGAGGTATTTCGAACACTGCATAGGCATGTCCCATCTCTGATGTTTGGTGTGACAATGGCGTCCCAGTTAGAATATGTTGACCATTTAGAATAAAAATATATATCCTGCAACTTAAGGCTTAAGCCATTGCTTTGTGTAAATTTCTCACAACAGTTACAAAGAAGACAGTTTTTATTGCACAAGGATAAAGAGACTAGCATTTCAATTACAAATACAGTTCCTGCGATGTTATGCTTCACTCAAAAATAAAATTCCAATGCTGAGATATGTGAATGATAAGCTATTCATTGCACAGTGATATACAAAAAGGAACATCAGCATTTTTCACATCTTCAATCTAGATATAGATTTCATGTTTCCCTTCAGTAGATACTACTGTCCGAGGTCGCAGCTACAATGATGAATGTGTAGTCTATTTCAGAAAGAGAATGAATAGGATACTGTACATGTACATTTTTTGTACATGTATTTGACTGTGGAGTGGTTAACCATGGTAAGGCAGGACTTGTGGAGGAATCCGTGTAACCTGACAGGGAGAATGTGAACAGTATACAAAAC